TAACACCCCGTTTGTCAGCATCCACTATGTACTCACAGTGGAATTACACCTTATACTACGAATACCACGGCGACTCCACTATTGTGAACCTTCTCTGCATGACGCTGTTGATTTGTCAAGGTCAACATTACTGATTCCTGCACCATTAATGGCTCCACTAGTAGGAACGTGAAGCATTCGAGGGTCTTAGTGGCTATGCTTCTGAGTTAGTCGCCTTTGAAAATGTGTTCCTTCACAATTTTCTCGCAGTTATTTTTTGCCTCAATTAGTCTTTTATTGCGTTAGTACTGTGATGCGTTATGAATCTTCAGGGGTATTAATCATGTCATGTTTTCCTTCTTTCGCAACCTGAGGCATTCATCATCAACAACGGTACATCAACCGTTTGAACTGATGCTTTGCTTTCATACAACCATGATGACATATGGAATAAAGAATAACAAGAGGAAGTGGGACTTACCTGAAAGCCTTAGTGCTATAAACAAACATTCAGAGTCAAGGCGCCTGCACCTTGTGTTAGCTACATACCGTCACAAACAGCTGGCTATCGTGCAAAGATAAGGCAGCATCAGCGACCCAGCTTCCTTGCGGTTTTCACTACCCCGCGTCATAATCAGCCATTACCCCGCAGATACCTCAACACCAAACACACTGTAAACAAGCATTCCAACTAGGAGACGACAGCAGACACGTCACCGGTGTCGACTGCGAGCCAAGTCCCGTAAAGTCTCTAGCCAAGCACAAGGTGGGTCACGTGGACTCCAGCCCGGAAGGCGAGACCGACGGACGGCACCCAGTTTGGTTGTCAGTGACTTCATTTCCCGCCGCCAACTCAACTTCTGTCCACCTCGAGCCTTGCGCCACCGTATATCTGGCAGACTAAACAAGGCGCTCCTAAGTAAGCGGTGACCAGGCATACGTAGCACGTGTCCAAGCCAACTTAACTTATTCAGAGATATCTGTTGTTATAAGTAACTAGCTTGGTTATCACTGCCTAATGCCTACACACATCATCTTTGCGGAACGCTAGTGCCATCCGACAGCAGCAGTGTTCCACAGACAACGATGATCAAAGACTCGAAGGCGCCTCAGATCATAAGACCAGAGCGGCCAACTCTCACTGCCATAGAGCAGGACGGCCCTCACTGTCGACTTGTATACACGGCCTTTCAGACGGAGGGAAACTCCCTTCTGTCGCCAAAGGTGCCGTAGGTTCAACAAGGCAGTTCTGGCTCTTGCAATGCGTGAACTGACTTCAGTTTGTATGTGCGCATCGTTGCTGATGCAGCCGCCAAGGTAAGTGAATTGATCAGCCACGTTGAGTTCCTCATTATCAAGAGTTAAAGGATCATCGAGCGACTGGTGATCTCGCAGCAACACTTCGCATTTTGAAGGTGCGAAGCGCATACCAAATAATGGGACCACTCAATACAGGCTATTAAGGGTTGAATTGGCCACCTCAACATCGTCAAAAAGCAAGACAATATCGTCAGCATAATCAAGGTCAACTATTCTTTCACCAGGCAGGACTTCAACATCTACATCGTGATGTTCCGTAGGGGAGCACTCCATAACGTAGAAAGTGAACAAAAAGGGGGAAATCGGGCCACTCTGACGAATGCCACTTGTGGTCGGAAAGCTATTCGACAGGTCACCGTAGACCCTGACGCGGCTTGTACTGTTCGAATATAGAGTACGTTGAATGTTAACTTTTCGTGGGAACACCTTTCCGCGCAAGCATTTCGAACGGAATGAATCGATCGACTGAATCGAATTCACTCTTGAAGTCGAGGAACACAACTGTTGTTGGCCTGCCGTACATTTGGCGTTGCTCTAACATTTGCCGCGGCGTGAATATATCGCCTATACAGCCAAGTTTTGAGTGAAATCTGCTTGCTCTTCGCTAATTCAAGATTCCCGTTTCACAATGAGGCGGCGAACCAGAATCGAGGCCAGTAATTTTGACACAGCTGGCGTTAGGCTAATACCCCTGTGGTAATCACAGGCTGTGCAACTGCTCTTCTTGTATATTGTCACGATAATCGATTCACTTCAGTTAACCGGGGCGCTCTCTTTTTTCCAGACATGTTCGAACAGGGAGGTCAGTGCTTTGCAGAGAACTTCACCTCTATCCTTAAACAGTGCAGGTGGGGGAGAATCCGGGCCAGCTCGCGTTTCGGATCTCAGCCTCCGATGGAGCCTATAAACTAACTGTCCATGGCACACCTTACATCACCTGAGTAGGAAGAGATCCAGGAGCAAGGGGAAAACTAAACTGCTCTCGAAAGTGCTCAGCACAACGAGCCACACGGCGCATTTTATTGTGAATCAGATTAACCGCGCTCTCTCTGATTGTCTTACTGACGCCTGGTTTCCAGGGACCGGTGTGCGGATCAGCTGGAAAGGCCTTCCGTAATTGCCTACTGCTCCTGCCTCCTCCATTTCTTGAGCCCGACTGATCTATTAGGCTTCTTTGTCAGCACACGGGCTCCGCTTTATTTCGCGTCTGACAGTCCACCTGATCACATTGTGCTCAGAGCCATCCGGGTGGTTTCTTCTGGATGCCAACAGGTTCACCGACCTCTCGGCTATCCATTGACTGGCGCGGTGACGATTGATAGTGCTACAAGCAGATAATCCTGTGTCGTGCATAGCGACTGAGATTCTGAAGCTCAGTGTCATTAGGGTAAAGGGACGAAGGTTCGGTACGCAGTGCATTTTGAAGGACTTGCCTGACAGAGGGCGGAGACCATTTCTCAGTTGCCAATCGGGGAAGACGCTATGTGCGCCTCACGGCGACAGCGTACCAAGGTATGCTCAGAGTCAACGCAACTACTACAGAAGGAGCCGCAATCCAACATGGAATCACGCCACCTGTAACTTATGGTAATGTGATCAGTTTAGGTCCATCGCTGGCCAGCTACAGGAGAACGCCAAGTGGCACTTCGGCGTCCACTGTGTCTAAAAGCAGTGCTACTAAGAAACACAGTTGCAACATACGCTCCCCGTTGTCCGTACGGTTTGAATAATGCCCACAATCACCACCTAGCTGAGCTTCAGAAGAGCTCGGATGCCCTACCTGTGCTTTCATATCCCCTGCAAGTACTATGATATTTGAAATAGTAGCACTGCGTAGTAGCGCGTTCAGTTCGTGCTAGAACGTGTCCTTGGCGGAATCAGAGCATCAGTCGGTGGGAGCATAAGCAGAAATCACAAACAAACAGCGTCTTTACTACTTCTTGAATAAACCTCAGTTGATGTCGTCAAACGGGCTACACACAAAAGGCTAGTCACCGGAATCCAACCAACTAACAATGGCTCAGCCTCAGAGCTGAGAACGATGCCCACTCCATCTTGACCCGTGAGTGCTGCATCGGCGTCTCTGGATGCGTGCAACCAATAGCGAGAGGACAAGCCGGGTGCAGTTAATTCAACAACCGTATGAATACTGAGATTAGAGAGCGAGAAGAGAGAAATCTGTGTTGCTCCATCGTAGGTGGATCGAGCACATGCGCGGAATAACGTCGCTGATTCCTGCGCGGTGGCAGCATATTGCAGCTGCACTACATCTTAACCAGGTGCGATACGCTCTCTATACCTGTAGTCCTCAAAGTGAGCGTCAAGGAATCTGTTAAATTCCGACACCGATTTCGCCTCGATTAGCGTCTCCGGCAATTTATTCCAATATTTCATCACTCGACGCTGGAAGCATAGCGTGTGAGCGATGTGCTTTAAATCCGGGTCATTTAGCCTAGTTTCGGATACACTGCACGCGCCAGTACGCAGTGTGACAAACTTGCGCGCTAGTGCAGCCTGTTGACCAAGTTGTCTTAGAGTGCGAACGTTGAACGCCACCAGATAAACGAGACAGCGTAGCCTCATAAGGGACTGTTGGTGATAAGCGTCCGGTGGGTGTTACGGGAGGATGGCTGCAGATGGTTCTATTCCAGTGGCACTTCAGTTGCTATCAATTAAGCTGGGAATTAGAGATGAAAGGCTAGTAATGGGGTCGGGATGGGAGTAAGAGAAATAGATGGAAAAGAAAGAGGTGAGGCGCCAACAGTAGCATATTTTCGGTTGTCTGCCCTGCTGTATGCAGCAGATAAGGCGACCCTTGATAATCTGCGTGACGGCTGATGCAAGATGTAGCTAGAGTTTGGAGAAATTGTCATGGTTGTATGTGGGCTGAGATAATGCCAGGGCGGCCAGATCTAGACACCAAGATGATTAGGGTCCTCAACCAAAGCCTTTGGCTCAATAGACTGTCCGCAAGGCAGCGATGTGGCAACGATTCGGTTTTACAGAAATGGACGCTATCTCATTTCAAACCCTCAACTTGGAGAACCAGGAGACTGTTTGTCTGAGTTCTTACCATTGCTCAACCTGGCAGGAGTAGCTCTCCAGGGGCCCTGAGGCACCACGCAGTTTAGCTCAGTGGGTCAAGGAGGTACTCAAACCGTTGCACTACGTTAAGGTCCAGTCTCATTGCGACTAAGGCATTGGTAGGTGATTCCATTCCACCTAGCCACCGGCTAGGTGGCTAGCCATGTCCGCTAAAACACTTGAGGACTGCTTTGGAAAATTCAAAAACAAAACATCTGCTTTTAGCGATTTAGCCGCACAGCTCGCACTGACGAGAGATATACCTTCGTTTTTTTATTCACCGCAAATTCAGATTGCCCATGCAAGAGCATGGTACTACCTGTACATATTTGATCTGCGCCATATATGGGCGCTGCTTTTCACCAAGAGAAATATGCCCATTATTATTGTATGTTAGAACATTTTTAACTCTGTCGCAATTTAGCTTATCGGGCCCATTGGGTACTAATATTTCGCATTCCGCGTAGGCGTTCTTGAGTCTCGGATGTGATTGAAATTGGTAAGTTACGAGCCGTGCATGTTCGATCTAGCGTACTATTTGCTGATCCTCTAAGCAGTTTACAGAATCATACAACTTGAGCATACCTAGTGCTAAATTCGTGAATTTTGCTTTTCAGCGTGACAGCTTCGAGAGCGGTACTCCTGCTGCTCATTTCGGGCGGGATGATGGTAACAAACTTGTGGTAGTTCACAGCCACATCCGATTTTTTTGAACTTTGGATGATGAACGTCTCGCTTCTCCTGCAATAACGGATGGATTAATAGCAGTAGCATCAGTGTTTTACGGTCATTTCTGGTGGCGAGGCCTTTAAATCGGCCATACCGTTTTATTTGTACATCTTTTTACAATATCGGCATGGGTACATTAGTTTTCTCGGAATATTTCAATATTGACTTTTTCAAACTATTTCCAATGTCACCACTGGCGCTTTTCCCTTACTTTTTGAGAAGATCTCAAGATACTGCGCACTTAAAGATGAACCGACCAGATAAAAAATCTAACTTGCAACGCTGGCCTGTCAACTGGGCGCAGCTTCATATTATTCTGTCTGGAAATGTTATTGTTGCTCATTTATACTGACCGTTTATTGAGGTGACACCTGTACACAGCGTCCTTTTTCCATTCATACAGTTCTGATAATGGAACTTTACCCCATCCGTGGTCGATATGCTGAAGTGCTGAAAGTGTATCCGCCTGTACACATAAAGCTTATTTTGACTTGACTTGGTTTCACTTTTGACTTACGAAGTTTATCTTCCTCACAGTGCTAACAAGCATTTTTAGTTAATACGAATTCGTATGATGTGTAATAGGATAGTCACAGGAGGCTGAGTAAAAATGTGATGCGCTGTCTCAAATATAATAACTGATACAAACCAACCGGTTTTAGTTTCGCGTTATTTCGTTGCTGGACTGTTTGTTTGCATCTCTGGGTCGGTAAGCTAGGTGAGACGCACGTTTCGGCTGAGTGGCATGTTCGTTAGTTTCGGAAAATTGGTAGCACTGGTGATGCCGCCTCGCATGGCGATGAAACATTTGCAAACAAATTTCTCAGCTCGGCGAACGAATGAGCAACTGAATGTTCGTTAGTTTTCTCTTCCTCCTCTTGTGTTCAGATCTCTAGTTCACGATCCTGGACAGATAATGGATGACGATTAGATGCTGTCGTGGTGCACACTTTGAAATACGCACACGTGGTCGAGCGGAATTCACAAGCGCTGTGACAAAGCCTGGTGCCTGTCGATCGTTGCTGTTCGGGTTCACATGTACAGCATAGACGACCGTGGTTACTACACGAAATGGTAGATATTTATGATAGGGAGCTTGCCGGATAGCCGTGAGAGCACCCGTTCGAATGGGGTAAATACATACGAAAAGCAAGGCAGTTTTGCTCGCGGCTTTTATCTGGAATTCCACCAAAATCGGTAAATTCTACTGGGGAGATGTAGCGAATAAATAATTCATGTTCTGTAAGCTCTACTAGGTAGAGCGGGTCAATAAATAAACTTTTAGTCTTGGCAACGCGAGGCACGCCTTTACAGGCATGATCATGTTATGATAACAGTGTGAACAAAAATGTGCAAAATACATGTTTGCCATAACAGTGAATGTGTGTGTATGTGTGCGTAACTGTGCATAGGTGTAGCTTGTGTTTGTAAGTGTGCCGTTGTATTTGTGACTGACAGCATCGGCTAAGTAAGAATAGACAATTTATATCCATGGATTGGATGTAATTATCCAGATATCCACAGGCAGTAACTTTAGTTTGTGGTGAGTCACATTCGCCACGTCACAATGTTGATGAACGGACATTTGTGGCTTTTTATAGGGAGAACACTTGCCAAGTGAAAACCCACCACGTCCTGGAACAGAGCCGCCGAACTTTTTGCTTTAACGGGTTACACCCGAATCTCCCAGCTGGCACTACGAGAAGGTTGTTCGCAAAGCTAGCCAACATGGCTTAAAGTTGGCTAATTCAAATGCAAAGAAATCCAGAGCGGCTATTTGGCGCATCCGTCCGTAAGTGAGACAGATAAATAAATAAATTCGTATATTTATCAACAAGCGGTATACGGTCCCATAATCAGGAGCGATCATTTGTACGGTGAACAGGTTTCGTGATTTGTGCGACATAAATTCCTATTAATAAAGTAAACTTAAATAATAAAATTTCGGATCATGAATTTTCCCTCGGATCCTGTACCCGTGCACCTATTATGTAAAGTGTGCCCATATTCGTATCATCATTTCCTGCTTTGTGAGTCGCAGAAGTGGGGATAAATAGGTTGGACAGACAAGATTCGATTTGATAGGTAATTACATGTAATGGGTAAGCTGATTGTAAGCAACTAGTTGCTCATATGTTATTTCTACCAGCTTCCTTCAAGGTTTCTAGATTTTGTTGTGAGTCAACGATCTTCAACACATTTGATCTAGTGAGAAACTTAAAACACTGAGTCCCTTTCAGCGACTTCATTAACGAAGTAAGGAGACATAGGTTTCAATATGTTAACATTTCGATTACTGTCGTCAGTCGCTACGCAATACAGGAGAACAAAACGCAATAAATAGGGTCCACACATAGTAACATGGATAAGCAGATAAAATTGATGGGCATGACACAATCAGGTCCAGGGTAATCTAATTGATTGTTTCAATTGTTTCTGGGCACAGAGCACGGGATAGTTCAACCTTATCAGTAGCGCCTCGCCAATTGCCAACAAAGTCCGGTTCCTGTTGCGCAACAGCACCTTGAATGAATCGATTGGGTTCACCTGATGACGAGTCATCATGAGGTGTTCGGTGATAGACCAGGTAGCGTTCCGGTTCATTCTTTGGTTCGCTCCGCCTTGGTTAGACAGCAACTGCCTTAGCCACAATGGGAAGCGTTCCGCCACTCTTTGAGCCAGCCGGCGACCAGTATTGTCTATGTAAGTGTCACCGCAACTGCAAGTGAACTGGTAGATAATGTTAGAGGTCGAACTGATTGGCGAACTGCTCGGACGGCTGTGGAGAGGAATCCTTCGTGTAGTGTGGATAAGTCGTAGTTGGGCGGTAGAGTAGGTGCGCATTAGAGCGGACCTGGGCTTGTGACCAACTTCATTTGCCAAGTGATCCCCTTAAACGGTAAGTAAAAATAAACCTCCTTCTTCTCCGCAGTTTGTACGGGCAACTTCTCCTTGGGGGGTCTGCTATGGGTCCGAATGAATTTATCCGGATACCCACTGGCTAGCAAAGTTCGGTATAAAAACTCTTTTTCAGCCTTGAGCAATTCCGGACTGTAAATCCGCCTGGCCCTGTAGAAGAGAGTTCTTACAAGACCGCGCTTGTATGCATCTGGGACGAAGCTGGAAAAATGTAAGTGCTGTCCCCCCCCCCCACCAGATCGCTTTTCTGTACACCGTACGCTGCAGTGTGCCATCGGTCCTTCTCTTGATGAGCACTTCAAGAAACGGCAGCCTATCCTCTTGTTCCTCCTTCTGTGATACAGAAAAGTTCGGGTGAATTGAGTTCAGGAGGGCAGAAAGACGATCAAAATGTTCACCATTTGTGAAGACGAGAATATCATCTACATAACACTTGTAAAGCTTGGCTTCACCTATGCAGGCAGCAACTTTCCTTTCAATCATACCCAGGAAGATATCTGCCAGAACTGGTCCTAACACACTACGCATAGCGACACAGTCAATCTGTTTGTATGCCGTCCCTTCAAACTGGAATCGCACATTCTCAGTGCACAACAATATGAAGTCTCGCAGGAACTCCAGATGAAGGCCCACAGAGAGGTTCCGACTCAAAAGTAATTGGCATAGGTCCTCGACCGTTTCACGTAGGGACACATTCGTGAACAGCGATTGCAGATCTATGGAATACATGTGCTCCGCGTCGAGTGTTATTTGTTCCAGTATATTCACCAATTCAAAGGAGTCTTTCAAATGATGCGTGCTCAGGAGCTTACTCACGGGTTCTAAGAGCTTTGCCAACCACCGGGCTAATTTGTGGTAGGGTGAATTATTCATACACGTTATTTGGCGTAGTGGAATTCCCGCCTTGTGCAGCTTCGGCGAACCCTTCATTCTTGGTGTTTCCGTCCCTGTCGGTTTTAGCTGCCGATATTGTGACTCGGAGATATAACCATGAAGCAAAAGAATTTGTAGATGTCTTGTACTTTGTTTCTCCACCAAGCTAGTGTTGTCCAGCGTCTTGTCAATACGAAACTTGCGTCCATCTCCGATAATCGACTCCATTTTTGCGGTGTAATCAGCTTTGTCCATTATTACAACACCCGTGCATTTATCCGGTTGCAGGAATATTACATCCTTCATTTTCTGCAGCTTCTTGATTGCAAAATAGTGTTCTGATTTCAAGCAACACCTCTGACTAATAGGCGCGTTCAGGAACTGGTGCGTGGTATCCACTAATTTTGCCCGGAACCATCTTACATCATCCGTTGATTTCGGCGACAGGGCCAGGGGGATTTGCATTCCGGAATTGCTCAAGGCTGAAAAAGAGTTTTTATACCGAACTTTGCTAGCCAGTGGGTATCCGGATAAATTCATTCGGACCCATAGCAGACCCCCCAAGGAGAAGTTGCCCGTACAAACTGCGGAGAAGAAGGAGGTTTATTTTTACTTACCGTTTAAGGGGATCACTTGGCAAATGAAGTTGGTCACAAGCCCAGGTCCGCTCTAATGCGCACCTACTCTACCGCCCAACTACGACTTATCCACACTACACGAAGGATTCCTCTCCACAGCCGTCCGAGCAGTTCGCCAATCAGTTCGACCTCTAACATTATCTACCAGTTCACTTGCAGTTGCGGTGACACTTACATAGACAAGACTGGTCGCCGGCTGGCTCAAAGAGTGGCGGAACGCTTCCCATTGTGGCTAAGGCAGTTGCTGTCTAACCAAGGCGGAGCGAACCAAAGAATGAACCGGAACGCTACCTGGTCTATCACCGAACACCTCATGATGACTCGTCATCAGGTGAACCCAATCGATTCATTCAAGGTGCTATTGCGCAACAGGAACCGGACTTTGTTGGCAATTGGCGAGGCGCTACTGATAAGGTTGAACTATCCCGTGCTCTGTGCCCAGAAACAATTGAAACAATCAATTAGATTACCCTGGACCTGATTGTGTCATGCCCATCAATTTTATCTGCTTATCCATGTTACTATGTGTGGACCCTATTTATTGCGTTTTGTTCTCCTGTATTGCGTAGCGACTGACGACAGTAATCGAAATGTTAACATATTACATACTATGCCTTCTTACTGCGTTAATGAACTGATGAGAAACGTCTGCAGAGAATTTTGTAATGCGACATGGCTTGCACTCATGCGTATCTGTAGGGGTAGTTTGTTCTAAACGTCAGTGTATCTCACTAAGAAGAAATTTGATCGAGTTTTATG